TTACATCATTACTGACTCAGCCATTTAGGGTTTGGTTAGGGGGGAGGGATCATTCAACTTAGAGCATTACTTGACTCAGCCATTTAGGGTTTGGTTGGGGGGGAGGGATCATTCAACTTAGATCATTACTTGACTCAGCCATTTAGGGTTTGGTTGGGGGGGAGGGATCATTGTACTTAGATCATTACTTGACTCAGCCATTTAGGGTTTGGTTGGGGGGGAGGGATCATTCTACTTACATCATTACTTGACTCAGCCATTTAGGGTTTGGCTGGGGGGGAGGGATCATTCAACTTAGATCATTACTTGACTCAGCCATTTAGGGTTTGGTTTGGGGTGAGGGATCATTCTACTTACATCATTACTTGACTCAGCCATTTAGGGTTTGGTTGGGGGGGAGGGATCATTTAACTTAGATCATTACTTGACTCAGCCATTTAGGGTTTGGTTGGGGGGGAGGGATCATTCAACTTAGATCATTACTTGACTCAGCCATTTAGGGTTTGGTTGGGGGGGAGGGATCATTGTACTTAGATCATTACTTGACTCAGCCATTTAGGGTTTGGTTGGGGGGGGAAGGGTTATACATTACTTGACTCAGCCATTTAGGGTTTGGTTGGGGGGAGGGATCATTGTACTTAGATCATTACTTGACTCAGCCATTTAGGGTTTGGTTGGGGGGGAGAGGTTATACATTACTTGACTCAGCCATTTAGGGTTTGGTTGCGGGGGAGGGATCATTGTACTTAGATCATTACTTGACTCAGCCATTTAGGGTTTGGTTGGGGGGGAGGGATCATTCTACTTACATCATTACTTGACTCAGCCACTTAGGGTTCTTCATGGCAGCGGCAGGGCGCTTCATCACTGTGTTTGCTATTGAACGCAAAAGTTAGTCAGTCGAGTGCTGCGATATGAAGTATCAAGTTACGGTGATACGACATGAAGCAGATTGAAGCCTAATACGTAACTATATGTTTCTTGTTTACGTGATGCTGCACCCACCTTCTGCCTTGGCAAAATGCCACTGCGGACGACACAATACCAAATTTGCCACAATTGAGGACTGCAACTTGGCACATGCGATTTGAAAATTCTTTAGCGCAAGTGCGCGCATGAACTTCACAAACTAATCTTTCTCCCAGGATTTCAGCAATCACTTGAGCACCACAGTGCAACACATTGGAAGGTCACGAGAATAGGTAAGATAAGATAAGATAAGATGAGATAAGATAAGATAACAAGATAGATAGAGAGAGATAGATAGATAGAGATAGATAGAGATAGATAGATAGATAGATAGATAGATAGATAGATAGATAGATAGATAGATAGATAATTAGATAGGTAGATAGATAGATAGATAGATCGATAGATAGAAAGATAGATAGGTAAATAAATGACATGTAGCTTCGAAGCCCTTAAACGAAGCTTTTCTGCGAGACTTCCTACAAAAATGCAGCTTCGAAACTCAAACACAAAAACTTTTCTGCGAGACTTCCTTCAAAAATGAAGCTTCGAAGCTCTAAAACGAAGCTTTTCTACGAGACTTCCTTCAAAACTGAAGCTTCCAAACTCAAAAACCTAGCTTCGAAGCCCTTAAACGAAGCTTTTCTGCGAGACTTCCTTCAAAAATGAAGCTTCGAAGCCCTTAAACGAAGCTTTTCTACGAGACTTCCTCCAAAAATGAAGCTTCGAAGCTCTAAAACGAAGCTTTTCTGCGAGACTTCCTTCAAAAATGAAGCTTCGAAGCTCTAAAACGACGCTTTTCTGCGAGACTTCCTTCAAAAATGATGCTTCGAAGCTCTACAACGAAGCTTTTCTGCGAGACTTCCTTCAAAAATGAAGCTGCGAAACTCAAAAGCGAAGCTTTTCTGCGAGACTTCCTTCAAAAATGCAGCTACGAAACTCAAAAACAAAGCTTTTCTGCGAGACTTCCTCCAAAAATCATGCTTCGGGCACGAATAGGGTCACAGGCGACCACAAAGGGGCCGCACCATTTTCGTGTGGCAGGTGTGGGACTTCGAGCACACCTGGTCACTTGTGACCCTATCTTTTTTACTTCAAAACGTAGAAACAGTACTTAGGGTCACAAGCGACCAATGTCCCGCAAACGTGCATCATTTTGATTTTCGAAAAAGCAGCCACTTGCAGCCACTTGCTCAAGCAACCACTTGCAGCCACTTGCAGCCACTTGCAGCCTGTTCCTGCAGCCACTTGCAGCCTGTTCTTGCAGCCACTTGCAGCCTGTTGCTGCAGCCACGTGGGGCAAGTGTCTGCGAGTGGCTGCAAGTGGCTGCCAAGTTGCTGCAAGTGGCTGCTTTGGCAAGCGGCTGCAAGTGTCTGCAAGTGGCTGCAGCTGTCTGCAGCGAATCGTAACCATTTGCAGCTATGTGCCATCTTGAAAAAAGTGATTTTGTAGATGTTTGTAGATTTTATTTTTTTTTCAAGATTGTATGTAGTGGAGGGCTAGCAGGCACCTAGCAGCAGCTACATGTCCCGATTGAAACATATGTATAAACGGTTGTTTCGACCAAAAAAGTTTCACAGGGCCAGACTGTTTGTATTTGAGGGTTAGCGTTTACTTGCAGCCAGCAAAATGCACCCACAATGGGATATTGGCTGTTTGAATTTCATTCAACATGACCAACCATGTTCTTTGAATGACTCCAAATCGGAACACCATGCGAAAGCCTCAACAAAAACACGCCTATTAGCCTATAGTTTATTATAGTTTCCTGTTCTTTCTTGATTTGGATGTTATTATTAAGCATGAACATTAAGCATTATCAATCACTATTCACCATCATATGGTTGACTCTTATCCTCTGGTAGACATACAAACTCCGGAAAATCACCATATTTATGGGTAAATTAACTATGGCCATTTTCAATAGCTATCATAGTTTACCAAAGGGTAAAGTTATCACCTCGGACTTCAAATTTCCCAGAGATCCACGACGGGCCCCCGTGGCTCCCCACCGTGGAGACCACCTCCAAGGATGATAACTCCAGGCCCAGGGCTAAAGCGGGAGTCCTCAGCGGCCAAACGTGTTGTTGTTGTTTTTTTTCCCGGATCTGCATCAATGTTATAAAATATTAATGATTGGTATTATAATGGTATGGTTATACACCAATCTATCAATGATTGTATTAAAGATTAGTGATTGGACTTATATAGTTTTAACATGGTTTAAATTTGAATACAAACATTGAATGTCACAAAAGAAACATCTGAACTAGATGGAATTAGTAATTAGTAATCAAAACAAGTTTTTGTAAGCCTGAAAGCTATAGCCTATATGGTGGTTTCCAGGAGCTACATGGGCCCTACTGTCAGACTCGGATTAATAAACCTCCGGGCTGCTTGGGGGGTGTCAATCTTCTTGGTGGACCCTCCATGGTGTACATCGCCATCTGTCAAGTCTGCCGCGGCGTACATGATACTACTTTGTATCGCTTTAGCCTTGAGGTTCTGAAAGGGCCAAGTTCATGTCTCAGTGAAATTCTGATCCATCTGCAGCTTTCCATCTGTCTCAGTGTGAAAGAAATTTTGGGAGCAATGATTTGGAGCCAATATACCCAACAAAGAAATCTGGGCCCATAAACTGGCATAAACCAGCAAAGATGGGGGTAGCGATAGCGGTAGCTGTGAATAATGGAAGGCAAAATCACAGGAATTGGACAAACGAAAGCAGGTTGATTAAGGGATCCAGTAGTCCATATAGTCTGCCATTTGATTCTCTGCATATATGTTCGGAATGAGAAGACCACACTCGTTTTGAGATGTTTGGAATATGATTGTGGGCTGGTTTATTTAGTTTATTTCCCTTTCCCATAGATAACAGTTCACATAGCAAAGGGCACCACGCAAAAACGGCTGCTTTTCCAACAAAATCTGCGCCTGTTTCTTGCCACCCCGCGTCACAGCGCATGGCGAAACTCGCCACAGCGGCTGAAGAATCGGCCAATGTCAGACAGCGGCGCCGGCGAAGCAGTCACAGGCTGCCCGCTGACAAGCTGACCAATGAATGGTTGACATATTTCATAAATTAATAATGGTTCTACGATTTGCCTAGCCAACAAAACTAGATACATATATATATATACTATACATATATATATATATATATGTATATATATATATGTGTGTGTGTATATATATATATGTATGTGTGTGTGTGTATGTATGTACGTAGGTATGTATGTGTGTTGCGTCTGTAGAGGTGTGCATGTGTGTGTACTGTATATATATATATATGTGTATATATATATATGTATATATCACGCGTTTTTTTAACACAGAGCGGTGCAAATAATGGTTCATCACCGCACCTGGCAAAACTGAATGAATGTCAAATAGATAGATAGATAGATATATCTCAGCACACATACGCATGTTTAAACAAACACAAGTTTTTCACATGCATGTGTGCGCATATTATTATGCATAAATAATCATAAATATATAGTTACTATACGTAGTTATAAGTATGTGTATGTATTATGTGTACGACACAGATGCTGTGATGCTTGCCGCGCCTGCTGGCCACTTTGGCGCAACTTAAAAGCCTCCGGATCGTGCTGCAGCCCAGCCGGAGTCCTTGGCAGAGAGTGTTGTTTACTATGAAAAGGACGTGCACTGTAGATGACACAAAAAAATAGTTTGTACAATGGAAAACGGATGGAAGTTAGTGTTAATTTACATGCACATGTCAAATAAGTTCATTCAATTATACAATAAATCATAAATGCACATGCAGTGATCGTATCTAGTCTCCGAGACTCACCAGTCAAAAGTCACAGGGGGGCTTATCTTGGGAAGTGAGCAGTTTGATCCTGCGGCGCAACCCCTTCTACTACTAAGAAACACTTGAAGTTGACTTCAGATTGTGCATCTTAATGTAAACATTGGCATTGGCGGAAAACTGATCAATAATCCAAAGGATGAAAAAAAAAACAGCGGTATTCTATAACACATGTGTATACATATATATATATATCAATTGCATATATACCCTAGTTTCACGCAGCTATGGCAATTACCATTTTTTATAGGCAGATAATCTATAGACAGAGGGCAGTTAGTTTTGCGTGCAATCTTCAACCCATTGGGTGTGTTCAGCCTTGACCCATAAGCCGCCAAGCCGCCAAGAAACCTGACCTGCCATCACTTCATATCGTTGTAAAGGACCCGCACGCCATTGTCCTGGAGTGCCAGATCATGCACTGCAAGACTCAGGTGCAATAAACAAAACAAAAGTCAAGTGGAAAACAACAGTGATTCTCTCATGTCTTCACTAGTCTTATCATGTCTTATCTAGTCTTCTATTCTGCCACCGAACTGCTGTTATCAAATTCAACACTCAAGGGCTCTCTGGCATTTGCAACGGAGCACAAAGCAAGTGAACACCCGTGGCAGCAGTCCGCATAGTCCGCACCAGGCATTTTGATCACGTTCCCATCATCATCGATGTACTTGGACTTCTCCTCACGCCAGTGTTGTGACGTGAGGCTGGGTGCCATAACATAGCAGAGAATCCAACCTAATAATTGATCTAATGTAAAAGATAGTAAGATGGTACCCATCATCCGAGGAGCATCCAAACGGCAACACAAATTGCACCAAGTGTGGGCCAAGCGACGCCAAGGATAAACCTCTGAAAGAACTTGGTGAGAATCTTGTCCACTGTCAGGAACTCAACCTGAAAAATAGGTTCCCAAAATGTTCAAAAGGCTTTGGAATGCTTTAAATGATTTAAACAGCTTTAGCATGTTTCACAACAGTTTCCTTATCAGGTCTTCAACAGTTGGATCATGTTGGATCGGTCACCAACTGGGTGTCACCAGTGGGTCTTCCATAGGTGTCACATGCAACATTGGGATCTTCCCCATCTGGTGGTGTCGACCCTCCACACTTTCCAGGGCTGATCGGCTTAAAGGACGACCAGGAACCGACTTGCCGTTGCCGCTGACGTTGATGATCTTGGGGACAAGGTCGGCTGCCACCTTTCCAGGGGTGAACATCATCCATCAACGAATACCGCATATTATATATATATATAATTATATATATATACATATATATATGATATAGGCACTAGTAGCTTTAAATCAGAGATTTTTCAGCTCCAGGTTGGTTTGTTTGTCCGGGGATCTCTATCCCAATTTCCCAATTTATTTAAGCCCCGCTTCGGGCTGCGTTCGCGCAGTCAGACCTCCTCGGGCTGCGCGGCCAACACGCCGAAGGGGAACTTTCGAAGTTCCGGGGTGCTGTCGTTCAGGAGGAGATCGGTGAAGACCTGGCTCAAAGCATCCCAAAAGTATCGGTTCAGGTATTACCCTCTGGTAATTTAACGTACCTATTGAAAATGGACATTTATAGTGGATTGTCCCATTAAAAATGGTGATTTTCCATAGTTATGTTAGTTTACCAGAGGGTATATGATTTATATGGGATATGAACCGACCTCCAAAAATGGACCCGGTGGGGTTGGGGCTTCAGATTTTGTAGACAGATTTCTGGAAAACACCAGAGCGGCCTCTACAAAACCAAAAACATAGCATTTGAACAGGAAACTTTCAGGCCTACAACATCCAAACACCCAACCCCACCCAGCGCTTCTACAAAATCCAAATCACGGAAACCCACCTTGTATATATAGGCACTAAAAACTTATATAGTTCAAATACACCCTCAAAAGATCTCAAAAGTCATACCAGAAACAACTGGATTTTGTAGAGATACCTTTGTTTGGGGTCTAAAAATCAATGATGTAGGGGCGGTTTCTGATTTTGTGTCGTGGCTTTAATTTTTCAGCCGCTTCGTTGTGGCACTTTGCTTCTGGTATTGTCTTTGAAATTTTCACCACGCCCGTGCAATCTGAGATATTGCTTGAGCATAGTGACCCAAACTTTATCCCTGTATGGTACTTTAAATCCAAAAAAGAACTAAACTGATCATAATGAGTGATTGAACTGAACATTAAGTTCATGCCACTGGGTGGGCATGAATATACTCACAGATCTCACGCACAGAAAAAGTAGAAACCAGGGATATAAATGTTCAAACTTTTAGATGGTCAAGAAATTGCTTTGTTGGTAGTTATTGTTTTTTGTAAAAACAGTCAGCTAAATGTATATATATATATATATATGTCTGGGTGAATTAAAATATTTCACTAACCTGAATTAAGGCCATTTGGGGATGATTCCCCTTACTAACCATGATTCCAGTGAGGTCGCAGTGAGGTCGTTATAATTTACCCAGATATATACCACATATATAAAGTAAAACCAGTTACAAGCGATACGAATCTTATCAGGAGGCCATGCCACGGAGCTGGCGGCGGTCCGAACATCAACGGGGGACGGGACGGGAAATGGCATCTTGTGAAACGTGACATATCGATACAGGATGGGGCCCCCAAGATAGCTAAGTTGCCTTATAAAGTGGCTTTATGGTAGATATAACTATAGTTAATAGGGGTTATAAGGGTTTATAAACCCAGTTATAACTGGGGGGCCCCATCCTGTATGGTGATTATATGATATTATATGTGGGGGTTTCCATAAATGGATGGTTATTTCATGACTTTCATGGAACATCCCATCTAGAAATGGAATGAAATGGATGGTAACTATAGGGATACCCCCATGACTTAGGAAACCTCCATGGTATGAAAATGATAGAACATATGTATGAACATAAATGCCAACTATTTATGAAACCCATTGAACCCATAAAATCACATGAAATGAAAATCATGGTTCAGCCAATTTCTCTACAAAACCAAAAGCATATCACAGAATCTGAAGCATTGCCTCAATGTCCTGAAAACGCAAAACCCTACAAAATCAAAAACATGAATATTTCCCGAGATATTAGAACAACGTGAATGTATACCTGTCTATCTACAGTCTCTCTCTCTCTCTCTACATATAGTTAATCTATCGTTCTTTCTGTCTATCTGTCTGCTGCGTAGCAAACTATCTATCTATCTGTCTGTCTGTCTGTCTGTCTTTCTGTCTAATTGATACGATCCAAGAACATCCTATCTGACCTATCTGATCAAATCTGATCTACAGTGTCTACAGTAATCAGTCAGATCCGATCCGACGCAATCCTTTCCTCTCATCTTATCTTTATCGTTCTCTGTTCCTCTATCGTAAGTCGTATCTACCTACCTACATATCAGATCATATCAGTATCTCAATTTATCACGACATATTATTACCTAACACCCATTCAAATCTAATCCATTCCACCTAGTCTATTCACAGCAAACACAAAAGGTCTAGAGATACCTCGATGAAAGGGACATCGAACGACTTTTGGCAATGGGAGGAGCTGGGAAGCTGATGGGAATTCATCACTTTCAATTGAAAATATGAGAATTATGAGATAACTTGGGATAAATCAAAACCAAATCATCTCTGAATATACATGGGTGATTGTCCATGGCCCAGGCCAGGTTGAATTACTGGCTTGAAAGCTTGAAAGCTTGGGATCAACGTCAGCTGGCTGAGCTTCAAACCATGCCGGGCGAAAGGCAATGGCAGTTCACCTTCCCGGGAGTCTCCACGGCATCATACCTTGGGTCAACATCCCAGGAATTGTTAATATACCCTCTGGTTATTTAACATAGCCATGGGAAATCACAATTTTTAATAGGTAAACCCAGGTAAACCATCTATAAATGGGCCAGGTAAACCATCTATAAATGGGCCATTTTCCATGGCTATGTTAAATAACCAGAGGGTAATATATAAATCCATAAAAATCCCAATGAACATGGCTTGTTGATGCTTGAAAATGGCCAGGGTCAACCATCCCCCAATATGAGCAATCATATATTTCTATAGTCTCACCACTAGGCTCCGCCGGGAATGGATCACTTGGCTCCGCCAAGTTGCCCCTGCACGCCCTCCTGCGAGCGAGGTTCCCTTGGGGTTCCCTTCTGAAGAATGGTTGGTCTACAGCAAATTTCACATGGAACCCCCAAATTCCCACATCCAATTGGAAAATCTGACCAACATCGTCCAAACCCCGAGTCTTGGGGTTCATCCCCATGAACCTCTCTGGTAATCAATCATGGGGGCTGCTGGAAAATGTTCCCATTGATAATTATGAGTTTCCCATTATATAAAACCTCCATTTATAGGGGTTGTCAGTGGCCGCCAGAAAATATATAATTATAGAAAAGTAAAGTGTACTATTATCATACAATCATCACTATTTTAGTAGGATTATACTTTTCTATCTTCGTGGGGATTACTACAAGCTAGTGGCCGGTTAATAATCCCCTTCAACTATAGACTCTAGACATATCAAGCATCAAGCCAGAGAGTACGTTTTCACCACGACTAAAACTAGGTTTCCAAACCACGACAAAACCCGGCTGCGAACCACGACAAGGACCAAAGATTTTAAGCACGATTGGCAAACACATCATCGACTGTCTGCGTAGCCAGCAATCACACTCTTAATGAACTGGTTTCATTGTGTTTTAACTTCATTGTGGGGAGGAGGCTTCCGGATTTTTTACGGATTTTTTCCGGATTGTGGGGAGAAGGCTTCCGGATTTTTTACGGATTTTTACCGGATTTTGGGGAGGAGGCTTCCGGATTGCTTACGGATTTTGACCAGATTGTGGGGAGGACGCTTCCGGATTGTTTACGGACTTTTACCGGATTGTGGGGAGGAGGCTTCCGGATTGTTTACGGATTTTTTCCGGATTGTGGGGAGGAAGCTTCCGGATTGTTTACGGATTTTTACCGGATTGTGAGGAGGAGGCTTCCGGATTGCTTACGGATTTTTACCGGATTGTGGGGAGGAGGCTTCCGGATTGTTTACGGATTTTTACCGGATTTTGGGGAGGAGGCTTCCGGATTGTTTACGGATTTTTCCCGAATTGTGGGGAGGAGGCTTCCGGATTGTTTACGGATTTTTACCGGATTGTGGGGAGAAGGCTTCCGGATTTTTTACGGATTTTTTCCGGATTGTGAGGAGGAGACTTCCGGATTGCTTACGGATTTTTACCGGATTTTGGGGAGGCTTCTGGATTTTTTACGGATTTTTACCGGATTTTGGGGAGGAGGCTTCCGGATTGCTTACGGATTTTGACCAGATTGTGGGGAGGACGCTTCCGGATTGTTTACGGACTTTTACCGGATTGTGGGGAGGAGGCTTCCGGATTGTTTACGGATTTTTTCCGGATTGTGGGGAGGAAGCTTCCGGATTGTTTACGGATTTTTACCGGATTGTGGGGAGGAGGCTTCCGGATTGTTTACGGATTTTTTCCGGATTGTGGGGAGGAAGCTTCCGGATTGTTTACGGATTTTTACCGGATTTTGGGGAGGAGGCTTCCGGATTGTTTACGAATTGTGGGGAGGAGGCTTCCGGATTGCTTACGGATTTTGACCAGATTGTGGGGAGGACGCTTCCGGATTGTTTACGGACTTTTACCGGATTGTGGGGAGGAGGCTTCCGGATTGTTTACGGATTTTTTCCGGATTGTGGGGAGGAAGCTTCCGGATTGTGTACGGATTTTTACCGGATTTTGGGGAGGAGGCTTCCGGATTGTTTACGGATTTTTCCCGAATTGTGGGGAGGAGGCTTCCGGATTACGGTTTACCGGATTTTTTTTGTGGGAGGAGGCTTCCGGATTGTGAGGAGGAGACTTCCGGATTGCTTCCGGATTGTTTACGGATTTTTACCGGATTGTGGGGAGGAGGCTTCCGGATTGTTTACGGATTTTTACTGGATTTTGGGGAGGAGGCTTCCGGATTGTTTACGGATTTTTTCCGGATTGTGGGGAGGAAGCTTCCGGATTGTTTACGGATTTTTACCGGATTGTGGGGAAAAGGCTTCCGGATTTTTACGGATTTTTACCGGATTGTGGGGAAGAGGCTTTTTTTTTACGGATTTTTTCCGGATTGTGGGGAGGAGGCTTCCGGATTTTTTACGGATTTTTACCGGATTTTGGGGAGGAGGCTTCCGGATTGCTTGGGGAGGAGGCTTCCGGATTGTTTACGGATTTTTACCGGATTGTGGGGAGGAGGCTTCCGGATTGTTTACGGATTTTTTCCGGATTGTGGGGAGGAAGCTTCCGGATTGTTTACGGATTTTTACCGGATTGTGGGGAGGAGGCTTCCGGATTGTTTACGGATTTGTTCCCGATTGTCGGGAGGAGGCTTCCGGATTGTTTACGGATTTTTACCGGATTTTGGGGAGGAGGCTTCCGGATTGTTTACGGATTTTTCCCGAATTGTGGGGAGGAGGCTTCCGGATTGTTTACGGATTTTTACCGGATTGTGGGGAGAAGGCTTCCGGATTTTTTACGGATTTTTTCCGGATTGTGAGGAGGAGACTTCCGGATTGCTTACGGATTTTTACCGGATTTTGGGGAGGAGGCTTCCGGATTGCTTACGGATTTTGACCAGATTGTGGGGAGGACGCTTCCGGATTGTTTGCGGACTTTTACCGGATTGTGGGAAGGAGGCTTACGGACTGAAGCAACAGCCTTGCTAATTGTTTATGAATTGGAACTAAGTAAGAAGCTGACTTGGGCTACACTGGGTTGAGATAGCTTGGGCTACACTGGGCTCAGATAGCTTGCTACACTGGGTTGAGATAGCTTGGGCTACACTGGGCTCAGATAGCTTGCTACACTGGGCTGAGTTGGGCTACACTGGGCTGAGATAGCTTGCTACACTGGGCTGAGTTGGGCTACACTGGGCTGAGATAGCTTGCTATACTGGGCTGAGTTGGGCTACACTGGGCTGAGATAGCTTGGGCTACGGTGGTTTGATTAGTGGCGATTAGTGGCAAATTTGGTTTGATTAGTGGCAAATTTGGTTTGATTAGTGGCAAATTTGGTTTGATTAGTGGCAAAGGTATGAACAAATCATCAATTGAACAAGGTATGAACATGGTATGCGCTACTCGTGCTACCCTCTTGTCGTGGTTTTTTATATCTTGTCGTGGTATAGATTCCACTGTCGTGGTATGACCCAACACCTATCAAGCCAAGTTATTGGAGTGATATTTCTACGTAGCTAAGTATGGGGCACCAAACTGCGTATGTATATATATATGTGTGTGTGTGTGCAATATACACCATACATATATATATATATATATATATTACTATATATATGTATATAATTATATATATATATACACATCCTGCCTGTATCATGTCTTTCCCCTGTCCTCCAATTCTTTCACCAAGGACTCCGTCATCTGCGGCAAGCCTCGCTTGGTGGCGCCATAGGCCACATAGCCTGGAGTGCCACCACCCTTGACCTAACGGCGACACCGCTGCTCTGGTTGTTGGTTGCTTGGTACATCATGTTATTGTTTTATATTGCGTTGATACGCGTTGATAATTGTTGATACCATAATGCCATGTCCTAATTGGATACGTACATATATACATATATATATATATAATTATATATACACATGCAAAAATCATGCAATATGTTTAAATATACATTCAAAAATGCAAACACAGAGATTTGTCTGCATTTACATGGGCATGCACAACATATAATGTGTAGAAAATGCGTAGGAACATGGTTGGTTCCCAATCACTGCACCTATCTCTCTCCCCCATTTTGGTTGGTTAAACCCTTGATAGTCGGTCCTATCACAATCGCGGATCTCAGTCCAATGAGTTGTTGCTTCAATCAAGATTGAAATAGGGGCCTTGGATGGCCTTGGGTCCTAAATACTTTCCATCCCCGAGCCTTTCTACAGTTGTCCTGTATCATATCTTGGTCATGTTGCATAAAATTCTTTGGATCTCATGTAAAGTATTTCAATTGGTGGTGCTGAAATTTGGTTGCAGGATCTGGCCTGCCAGCTGCAAGTCCACAGTTTTGGATGGTTCTTGATGCGGGCATAACCCCAAATAGAGCTAGCAAGCAAACAAAGTACCTGACAAATGCATGATTTTGCCATAATTTGCCACTTGGCAATCATCAGCTGCAACATGAGACCCCTGACTTCCGCAACCACAGCTTTCCAAGCGACGCCGCTGCCCACCGTGTTGAAAATGTGGCTTTCAACTCCAGCCCTCAAAGGCGCAGCAGGTGTTGATTCATGTCGGATCAATTGCAACCATAGCTGGAAGACAACGGAAAAATATTGGCAAATATAATCAAATGATCAAATGTTTGATAATGTTTGCAGATATTAGCTACATGAAGTTCACATGAAGTGAAAAACAGACAAACACATAAGCTCTCTCTCTCTCTCTTTCTCTCTCTCCAGCACCATCAGAAAAGTCCCTCATGGTGAGGAGGCGCGGAACAGACAGAGCGAAGCACATACAGTAATACATCCTGAAACCGGTACAGTATTTCCATTCAAAAAAAAATGATGAAAGCAACAGTCTGTTTTTTTTTGGCTGTTGTATGCTGTTGTCCATCAGGGGGATACCAATCGCACTTGCCCAACGAGCTCTCTGATCTCTCTTGGCATCCCGCCCACTTTATTCCAAGCAGCTGTTGCTCCATCACGCGCATTGCAGCATGGGTGCAAAGGAGGATTCCACCTCGGTCAGCTATGGCTGGCTATGGCTGGCTATGTGGCTATGTGGCTATGGCTATCCCCGGGGCACCAGATTTGGTGATGATTTTGGTGCATGTAATATGGCCATCGATGTTCTAATATGTTCTAATATGTTTCACAGAATCTATCACAGTCCCATTCCATTATTCAGCAAAAGTTCATCCAAAATCAAGACTGCAAAGCAACGTCCATGACCTCCAGGTTCAAAGACAGGTGCTTCAAAACAGGGAGGCTACCCAAACAACAAGTACAATAAAGTTCAATGGTTCCAATGGTGGGGATGGTGACAATTATCTTATCATTCCGACTGGCAACACCGCTAAGTCACCTTCCGAAAACTTTCAAACAGTTTTGAAAATTTGAAGACCAGGGGCAGGGGCGTTAAGTTTTTCAGAACCTGCCTTCAATTCTCCCCAAAAAAGGTTTGAGATATTTTGGGTTCCATGAAGTTCAAACAGGTGGTTGTGTTTCTTGGGTTTCCAAAGGCACCTACGAAGGCAGAAAGACAAAAAAAAATGTTTTCCTGCTCAACAACAATATGAATATGAATATGTCTACATCGACTGCTGCTTGGGCAACCAAAGAAGCGGGGTTTGGTCTTGTGAGCTGCTGCCCCTGTGCCCCTTTGGCTACACCGCTTCAGCCAATGTCAATCCCGTTCTGAACTGCCACCAGGAGACCCAAATTCACACCTCAATGAAAGGCCAGAAACCCAACCGACCTATCAAGCTTCAGTAGGACTTGTTGACCAGCAAATATCCGCATAGTCACATCATGGCATGTCTTGGATCCGTTCGCTTTTTTCACAGAATCGGCTCCTCACCTCATGTAACGATAACATCCAGGGTTGGTCCCAACAACAAAGATACAAGGTGCGTAAATTGATGTAAATTGGCTAAATCAAGAAACCACATGGAAGCACTAGAAAATGCCAAACCAGGTTCATTTTGTTTAAATGATAAACCGGCTTTGGTACACAATCTTCAGCCCAAGATGTTTTTGGGGTACAATTTTCAGGTCCAAACCTGTTTTGTACCTAACCCGGGCTAACGTATTTCGTAGAGGAAATTCAAACCCTGATAGTTATAAAAGATAGTCAAGCAAACCATAGCAAACTCAGCCGTTCCCATCCATTTCTCCCCGTTCCGGTTCTCATTTGCCATCATTTACCTTTTACTCATTTACCCTCTGGTTATTTAACATAGCCATGGAAAATCACCATTTTTAATAGGTAAACCCAGGTATATAAACCATCTATAAATGGGCCATTTTCCATGGCTATGTTAAATAAGCAGAGGGTACCTAGCTTGGAGCAAGCGGCGAATGACGGCCTCGACCGTTTCAGGGCTGATCTCGGTGAAGCGTCTTCGGCCACCGTTGATGCCTGCATTGTTGATCCTGAGCTCAGCTTCATGGGTCAAGCTGCACAACGCAGAAGTCATGGGCCCATAGGTCTAGTTTTTCAATCATGCACAAAAAGTCAAATGCCCATGGATCATGGTACGTGCTTCAAAGTTGTGCTCATGATTTTTCATTTTTAAATGTCCTGCAATGTCCTGTAGCCAGAGCCTTATGAGCCTCATCATAACTTGTCAGCGAACAGATTTTCATAGATTTTCTAGACCTTGGATCTGCTCACCATTGAATCGCAGCACCCTAGGCACCCGGTCCAACAACCCGCAGATTCCACTCCCAGTCAGCAGGATCATTCTCATTGTGAGCAACCATCTCTCCAATGCACCTTTATGATTGATCTGTTCAAAAAACAGCGAACTGTTCCTCCCAATCATAAAAGACCCACCAAACCCATCCAAACCCTGATTTACTGGTGGGCCCCTTCATGGTCCGATATATCAGGTTATTGTCAATGGGACTGGGTCAATCAATGTGCTTCCTTCCCAGCGGCCAGTAGTGCACAACTCCAATTTTGTCCTTCACAAAGTCAATCAGTTTGTTGATGCTCTCGATGTTCGACACATCGCACACGGTGCTAAAAATGCCTCGCCGCTGGGGCCCCTTCAGCCCTGCTGAAGACCCTATCATAAGAATTTGGATGCATTTGGGTGCGCTGTTTCCCGCTTCAACTCACCACAATCCGATGTGGATGCCAGACATGTTCAAAATTCTTCCACATTGCTGCAGTATAATTTTCCAAGTGATATAGGCATGAATCAAAACATATTACATATATAATTATATATGCATACCGTAAATCAAACTAAGTTCCTTGAAGCTGTTCACAGCAGCCAGGCTGCTTGCTTTCTCTCCGTGCTTCTTCTTCAGGGATTCCACCGCGTCAGAGCAATCCTTCGCCGGTTTGGCATTGCAACTGAGATACGCCCTGGCAACAGGGTGCCTACAGAGGGGATAACACCTAAGAGGTATCCTCTTAGGAAGATCAGTTAGACACATCCTGGGCTCCAAGCTCTGAATCCCATTCCCTTGGTGTTCCAGGACCGCATGCGATGCCACGGCATCCTTCACTATCCAGCTACGGAGGTCTGGGCCTCACCTGCCCCCCACCATTGCTGCACCTCAAGCGTAGCCTATCAAACAAGAAGCGTATGAAAAATTATGGTAAAATGATCATAAATTACTTAAACAACCCATGAGTCTTCTCATTCAAGCATGCAGCACGCCGCAATGGCCGCAATCCGAGTACGGAACAAGATCGGTCCCTTCCCAGGTCCTTGACATCGCAAATGACCACCTCCAGAACAAACAGCGTACCCCCCAAATCCCCAGGGATGGTCGGATGGTCATCTCAAGTTTGGCAGAAAGGATGCTTAAATCGCTTGGTGTTTAGCAAACATGTTTCGAGGCGATGGTGTCCTGAGAAACTCTATGGAACGCCATTGACTAGCTCGATGTACCTACCCCTAAACATCCTTAAACATCCAGAAATTCGAGTTATTGGACTTATACAACCACTTAGCTAACAAACTGGGGCACCGCTTATGACAGAAGTCCTAGTCATTCCCATTGCTGGGTAAAAATGACATTCCCATTGCGAGCCGGCCCTGGTGCCGCGATGTGCCCTGGTGCCCTTTTTCGGCATCTTTAGCCATCTAAATATCATAATCTCACAGGCATGGCAACCCATTGAAACACTGTAAAATTTCACTGGCTTCAACATAGAGAATTCCATAAGTGATGAGAACACCAGGGCCCCAGGTTCTCAAACCTTGGTTGATGAGGTCAGGCTACCCCTGAACATGATAGCCAATTTCCCTTTTTGGAAACGTGGCACCTTGCCCATTCCCCCCATATCAATGAAATTCAATTACCCTCTGATTATTTAACATAGCCATGGTATAAATGGCCCATTTATAGATGATTTACCTATTAGAAATGGTGATTTTCCATGGCTATGTTAGTCATAACCAAAGGGTAATTAAACCACAAAACCTCATCAATCCTCAGTTGATATTCTCTCACCATGGCATGCGCCTGGTGTCCCCGTGCCAGGAATTCGTCTGCATAAGCAAAGCCCACTCCAGCGGCACCACCGGTGATGACCACCCCAGCACACACGGGTGTGCCGTGCATCGCCACGGCAGAAACCTCAAGGGAAATGGAATTTCTGTGAGTTCCATATAGTTCCATGGGGTCATTTCAAACACTACAAAGTAAATCTAAGTACCATGTGTATCGGGGAACCCTATCTCATTTTGAGATGAATCCATCTTTTCAACAGTTCCGATGATCATCTGTAAAACAATTATAGCTCTGTGGCAAACAAATGCCGAGATGCCCACTAGAAAATGGTGTAAATTTAGGTAGATGTTCAGCACATGTTACCAAAATCGCAGTTTTAGCTTTCATCATGCTCTCACCTCGTTAGCCAGAACTCCCTTATCTCGTCGTTACTACTTGCCCGGAATGGCATTTGTATTGTGGCGTGGCAAACCCAGACCCAATCTATACGGTTTTTCGTAGATATGTAATCATATCTTTACATAAAGGGAATTGCCCTGTCCAAGTTCTATGACAAATTGGAAACTATCTATATATATATATATATGTATATGTATAATACGCGTAACCTCCAATTGAGGACTCTCTCTCTCTCTCTCCAGCGCCATCAGAAAAGTCGCCGGGGGATTAAGCTATGCCACCCATTTAATATGTCATGTCCAGCTTCTATTATTCACCCCTTACACCCTTAAAAAATGCAACATGCACCCAAGATTTTGGTTGATGAATATCCTCACAAATTACCTGGTGACTGATTCCATTTACTCAAGATGAGTTGCAAACTCAGTTTTTCAGTAGGGCAAGTAGGGTGGGTCCATCAACCTACCAAAAACGGGGATGGTTTCAATCCTCCCATAAACATGGCGATTTGGGATGGCTTTTTAGTATATCATTATAATTATGAGTACCATGAATCCACATTATTCAGTACCATAGTTGATAATAATGGCTTATTAATAAACATATGGGGATGGGTCAAAACCCTGGTACCTAGTGAACCCCAAAATAGCTGGTAAATGGATGTTCATCCCACTAAAAATGTATCTATAGGTATTGACCCATACCCATATATCTATATAATATATCTAATTATTGAGTACCATGAATATCCATGAATCCACATTAAGATACATTCAGCCACATTCGGCGCCCAGATTGCGCCTGGTGATTTCGTGTTCGGCGCAAGACGCTTCCGGTGCTTCGACGCCGGGAGGCGGATGCAGCCAGGGCCACTGCTGCACCTGGCAACGTGGCTGGCTGCACAAATCCCACGAAACATGGTACGAAAAATGTCGTTTTTAAATGGAAGATCCGCTAGAAATGGAGGTTTATAGCTGGAAAAATATGGAAAATCTTCACAGTATATGGATCTAATTGGTGGATTTTCGGGCCAGCCATGCTTGCCGGAAGGTATTTGGTTGATCAGTTCTCCCTATGAAATCTGGTAGCCGTGAATAATCGACCATCAAAAATAAACAATGGGGAAAATGCATGTAAATTCACAAGCCATCCTCCCAACAAAGGGATTATGCTCGTCAAGGGGATTGCCATCCTTCCAACCAACACAGAGGACCCTGCTATTTTTTGCTAGGGCCTGCTATGAGCTGGTAGGCATTCAGCCCTGCAACAGTTTTTGTTCTGTCTGCCACAGGTTAAGATACTCTAAGTCGCGAAGCGCGCAACAAGCACCGAAACTACAAACAAATAAAAGCCAAAAAGTGACGTTGTACAGAGTCTAAGCGGATGCTCATCACCACATATTTGCAATTATATAATTAATAATGGTATCATATATGGTATCATAAGGTTTGCAACATCCCCAGGTGACAGACTTATGGAACACTGGCGGCTATGCCTATGATGGCCACTTCCTGGTTTTCTGACTGATGCTTGAAGCCAGGTTGGGCTACTGACCATGCGACATGGGACATATTTCCGAATCATGGCATGACTAGAGCACCGGTGTTTGTCGGAAAATTGGCCCAAAATCAGTTCCTGTTAACATTACCATTCATTTGCGCGGCAAAACTCCCATTTTGAGACAAATCTTGGTGGGGTTCAAGCCCTGCCCGAGTAACCTCACGCTACCTATCAGGAGGCGGCAAACAGAAAAGGTGATGATGACACCATGAACCGCTGCATTTTTCTGTTCCGGCGTCATGCAAACAAGTCCATGGATTCGCAACAGCACGGCACGAGGTACCTCAAATTTGGGGTGTCTATGAAGGATACCCCAAGTGTAAACATGTGTAAACCACTTGCAGAAGGCACCTATACAATCTATGCACCGCCAGCATCTTTCAAACTTTGAGATAATAAATGTCGCACTTGTGAGGACAGGGTAGGGTGCCTGCGCGTGCAAAAATTGAGTCGACAGTGACACGGATGGGACGACTGTTCAGTTTCAAACACGTCCCTACACTGCGCTGCTGCGCTTGCAGCCGGCATCGGTGAAATCAGCATCCCGACAGTTGGGAAACCACAACATGTGCGAAATCTGCACATCTCTATGGTAAAATATATGGTAAAATCACATGTGAAGTGATGTAAAACATATTTTTTAATAAACACATGCATTATCATGCTGAAAGAGCTGGTTTGAATCATGAGCTTCAGCCATTGCTGGAATGCTTTGGCCTTGCTGCACAACGCCTGCCGGCCCGGGGCCGGGCACCATTTTTGGGAAAGATACAGCCGCGCATCAAACGCTTTGAACGCCCAAGGACTTGTAGATCAGAAATGTCTCCTGCAACGGCCACGGCAGGAAGGCTGGCAAAAAAGCTGCTTGGTCGTCACAGATTAAATAAACGGTTGCTAAACAGGTACTACCAAATAACGTGGTCGCGTAACACAAACAGTTGCACACCATGAAATATCACATATATATATATATACACACATATGTGCGTAATCATATGTGCTCATATAGACTATAATCATATAGAATAACAATGAATAACATAAATACCAATGGTTACCAATGTACCAAAAAAAATGCCAGGCAATTAAAGTTCACCATGGTTCCCCCGGATCCCATCAAGTTCATCATCCCCAAATTTCAACAGGCATAGCTGTATGCCATAAATCATCATCTACAGTAGCACATGATTTGATGTAGGGCTTGATCCCATCTATGAGTGCCCATGCATTACAAGCATCCTCTAGGGATGATGTGAGCGATGTGAGCATGACTGTTTCACTCGTTTCACTCATGCAGGTAGGCTCAATGGGAGCGCTGCCAATGATTTTTTCCATTGCAGTCCCTCTCCTGATGCTTGGGCAAGTCGAAGAACGCAATGTGCATCGCCTATATACATTGAAGGAGGATCACTTCGTGCATGACTCATGGAGTGTAGTGAAGTGATGTTCCCCAGTTGTGCGGCTCATCCTTTGTTCGACAAAACACATCAGCTGCCTACCATGGAGTTCCCACACAGAGGGTCACAAGTATTCCCAATCATTCTCAGGTCGTCAAAAGATGTTGTAGCCAGTAGGCGTTTTGAAGAAATTAACTATAGAAATTAATCGACAATCCAATAATGAAACCTGAGCAGTGTTGGAAATCATGTACCATTGCTTCACAAACTGGCTGGTTTTTGCTCACGCCGCCTCTAACGACCCCAGGCGGTTTGCGTGTTTTGATGTGCCATGTGCGTGTTGTGTTTTCTTTTGGGGGGGTGGGGGGGGTGGGTGGGGTGGGGTGGGATGTTAACGTTCCTTGCACTTCGTACATTACATGTTGCTACGCTGTAGAGATCTCTGGGATCGTTGCTACGTCACATGTTGTTACGTTGCTGATGGTGTGGGGGGGGTGGGTGGGGTGGGGTGGGATGTTAACGTTC